GAACCCTCGGGCGGGAGCGCCGCCGCGCTTCCCAAGCGGCGCACTTATACAGTGCGCCACCTGGCCGGCCCCTAGTCAAATATGTTTTAATAAAAATAAATAAATATTATTATGTAGGCATGTTGTAAAAAAAATACAGAAATATGCAAAGCAGAAAGTGAAGTACTTAAAATAATTATATTTCAATCAGGAAAAACATTAACAGTAGTTGAAATTAGTATGAAAGACTGAATAAAAGTGGGTGTTTAATAAATGGTCGTTACACTCACTCTGACCCAGTCACGGTGCTGAAGCACTTTGCCTGCATTAACTCATTTAGTCCTCCCAACAAGCGTGTGAGCTAGGCTGAGATTATCCCCATTTTCCAGATGAGGAAACAGAGGCTCTGAGGTCAGACCAGTGGTAGAACACGTATTCAAACCACGTCTGTTTATCTCTAAAACACGAGCCCTTACCACCATTGCTGAAGCTGCATATTTCCTAAGACTCAGGCCATGACCTCACCTCTACCTTGTGTCATTCTCATTCTGTCCTGCCATCTGGAGGATTGGGTGTGCAGGTAGAAGTCTGGAGATGCTGCCCACTGTGAAGCAGTACCAAACAGAGCAATGGGTAAGGCCCATGACTGGCTGTGGGTCTCGGGCCCTGTCTGTGTCTCCCTCAGAAACTTGCTGCATAGATCAAATGCACTATACATGTACAGCTTTTAGAGCCACCAGTCACAGAGCAAAGGCTTGGTATATGTGGGTGGAATGAGCTCTGAGCTGAGCTGTCCCCTCTGCAGTCTCTCTGCCACGCCTGGTCGACCTGGACTGGAGAGTGGATATCAAAACCTCTTCAGACAGCATCAGCCGCATGGCCGTCCCCACCTGCCTGCTCCAGATGAAGGTATGTCCACTGTTAAGCTCATTAGAAAGAAAGAAGTAGCAGTAGTGACTCTGCTCCCCATAGGCCATCTAAAACATCAGTCTCCAAAGTTTGGGGACCTCTAACCCCACAAATAAAAAAAATTAGTATCACCCAAGTGCATGTATTTATTTACAAAGTATACATGTACTGTCATATCAACATATTATGGACAGCATAAAACATATACCAAAAGGAGAAATTTTAAAATGAGATAAATACAAAATATAATATTTTTAAAATAATTCGCTGGTACATGAAGTTTACCATATACACTTAGAAGTTTAGCTTTAACAACAGAAGTGTGCTTTTGGATTTCAAAAGCCTTTTTGATAATTTTGGTATTATTTAACCAGCTTCCTGTCCAGTACGATCAGGCTGTCACTACGTGTATGGTAACGTGGCAGATCAGGCGCTTCTGTTAGCAGCTAGAGAAGTGTCTGTTCTTCATTTTCTTGTTCGTGCGCCCCTGCCTCATTGGTGTTATTGTCACTTCACAGTTCTTTTCAGGAATCTTTGTACACCACGTTTCCATTTGTTAGGGTTTATTTGGTTAAAACTAGATAATGTAATGTTGCATCTACCTAACTAGAGAGGTGAGTGAGCTTGGGCTTGGCCTCCACTTATACCCACCCAAGGCCCTCTTGCAAATTTAAACTGACCCAGGCCTGTGAGGCATCTCCTTCACTCTCCTTGGAGACTAAACGACTCTGTGTAGCTCTTAGCAAAGCGCCTCCCTTTAGAGGCTCAGCAGAACTGTGGTAGGGCTCACCTATGGGGATGGGAAGAGAGGCAGCTTTGGCTTTCTGGACCACTTTCTCTTTTCAGATCCAGGAAGATCCCAGTCTGTGCAAGGACAAACCCTCCATCTCAGCTGTCACTGTGGAGCTCAGCAAAGAAACACTGGACACTATGTTAGATGGGCTGGGCCGCATCAGAGACCAGCTTTCCGCTGTGGCCAATAAATGACCTGACCCACTGCCGTGCCCCAGCTGCCCGTCAGTGATGGAGCACCTCCCAGTGTGCAAGCTGCCCTTGCAGCTGCAGCTGACAGCAGGCGGGATGGGGGACAAGGGGCTGGCTGCCATCCAGAAGGCGCAATTGGATTGGGAGGAAGCAGCCAGGCCCCTCGCTGTTCTCCCCACTCATTTTCTTTTTCTTTCTGAAGCTGCTGAGCAGAAGCCTCCGTCTTTAAGAGGCTCTTGTGTGTGATGTAATTACCACTGTGGCAGCGTGAGGGAACTTTTGCTTCGTCAGCTGCCTCTGCATGGCTGCTCTGGAAATTCAGGCCCAGATTGTGGAGCTTTTCTAACAGGTTCATTTCCAACATTAGCTCTAATTAGTTCATTTCCAACCCCGGAACACAAGGAGGCAATCAGGTGGGTGATGCCAGCGGTCCTGCTCCTCTGTCGGACAAGCCGGGCATGGGCTGGCCTGTTAGCTCAGTTGGTTAGAGTGCAGTGTTGTAACACCAAGGTCAAGAGTTTGGATCCCTGTACCAGCCAGCCTACCAGAAAAAAAGAGAGGCAGATCTCGCAGAGCAGGGCCACCATGGTGTGCTCCATCCAGGGCATTCCCTGAGCTCCCTCAGCCCTGCTGGTCCACCTCCAGCAGAGAACATCTGAAATGGGTGCTAATTCCCTTCTTCGTGAAGACAGGGCCTCTTCCTTGATATAATGCAGCCATTCCTGGGTGAAGAAGTGGGAGTAATCGGAAATAAATAGCAGTTCTAAACATGTCATGATTCTGGTTGTGATTCTTGTACCTTCTGTCCTTCATCCAAGTTGTTGCCGTCAACAAGCACTGCTTCTCATTCCTAAAGATGACCCAATGTTCTTATTCCCAGCTAAGCCGTGACCCATGGTGTGACACAAAACCAGGCATTTGAACACCACCCCCTTCTGTGTTTCTACCTGTCCTGTAGAACAAAAGCAAACGTGGTTGGCATGTGCTTGCTACAAGAGCTCTGATGAAGGCCCCGTTAGAGTCTGACCAGATGAGATCATCTGTCATGTGCTTCCCACGTCATAGGCGCTCCATGTGTGAACACTTCCCCCCCTTTCGTTATCCAGATCATCCCGTGGCAGCAGCTTGCAGCCTGCTGTCTGAGTGCTCTGTTCTGGCAGCTTCTCTGGCTGTGTGTATGGGATGGATGGAGCAGGTAGAACCTTGGGTTCAGGATATGCACTCGGGAGTCGGGCAGCCAGGGTTGGAAGCCAGCTCTACTCAGGGGTAAGGTGCTTGACCTCTAGGGCTCAATTGCCACCCACCCCCTCCTTTTCTTTCTTTTTTTTTTTTTTTAATGGGAATAGTAATAGTATCTAAAGGACTTTTGTGAGACTTAAATGATATACTTAAAAGCACCTAGCATTGTTATGGCTAATAGAAAAGGCTCAAAAATGTTAGCTTTGATTATTAATGGAAGTGAGAGTAGAAAGCTCTGTGCCTTTATTGTTTCATCTACTATAATGGTTAGTGTAAGGATGAATGTTATTATCCTCCCTTTATCAACAATAAAACCAGCTCATTGAGGTTTAGTCACCTGCTCATAAATAACCTCATGTGGACTTGGGTCCTGATTTCTCTACCTTTCTCTCTGCGATACAGGACTCGGCAAGGGACATGGAATTCTGTGACTAGTTCCATTTGGAAAATGTTGAGACTGAAGTAGAGACAAGAAATACTGCCTCTTCCCACCCAGTGAGATACTAAGAAAGTTGAGGGAAAAATCTTCAAGCTCTTCTTTGCTATCTCCTGGAAGCTAAGCTGTCTTCTTTTAAAATAGTGGATTGTAACCCTTTGGGGACCATACCCGTCTAGAATCTGATGAAAGCTGTGGATCCTTTCTGTAGGAAGTGACCGTTCCATTTTTTGCATGCGATGACAAGAGGTTGTGGACCCCAGAAGCCAGCCCACTGCTTCCAGGTTGAGAGCCCCTGGTCTTACCCTCAGCTTGAGTCCAGCTTGAGGCATGAATTCTTCCTTCTCTGCTTTCCTTCCACTCCCTATGACCTGCAGATAGAAATCTCAAATCCCCATTCTCTGGCCCTCCCATGAGCATCCAGAAGAAACTAACCCGATGTAAGGAGCCCAGCATAGGTGGCTGGACAGTTGGACACTTCTTTAGCCAGATCTACCTGAACAAAGCCATCTAGGTGCATGATGTGCAGAGAGCCTTCAATAAATAACTGGAAAAGTCAATAAATGTTTACTACCCTTCACATGTTCATTTACGAGGTTTATTTTTTACCATTAACAAGGCTGGGTTGTTGGTAGACACCATATTTCTGGTTGGCCTGACCCTATCTCAGAAAGACCTCCTAGCTTCTACCTATTGACCTCAAAGTTCTTTCGTTCAGTGCTTGTCCAGTTTCCCAGTAGTGCTTTGTGTGATGAAACAGCTGTATGCAAACCGTCTCTTCCTTCGGTGCAGCAAGGTTTGTATTTCCAAACTTCTTCCACAGCCGGGCAGTGGTCAGTCTCTGCAATGGCTGCCCCTGGCCGCCCAGCACTTTCCACCCAGCCACAAGGGGGACCTTCTGACTCAGTCCTGATCAGTACGTGTGCCATGGAGACTATCACATTGGCCTGTTAGGCCAATCTGAGTCTTTCTCTAGGCCAGATAAGACCACCTCCTGCCTCTGGGCTGTGACAGTGAGGCCAGCGATGCTAGGGGCCGTCTTCCTGCCACCCAGGGAAAGTCCATCTGTAGTCAGGGAGGCCATCTAGATCTGGAGACTGGGAAAAGGATGAGAAAATCCAGTGTACCTGGGGCCAATCCCACTCCTCCTAGGGAATCAATCAGGATGGACCAGGCTCATGTTAAAGCGTACCCAGTATTGTTTTCATCAGATGTGGTAAGACACCCAGACAGGTAATTGATTGCATGAGGAAGAAGTTAATACTCTCAGAGCCCTAGAAACAGACGGCATGAAGGGCCACATGGGGCAGGACACCTCTTCTGGGCTTTAGGGGGAGCTGGGACCATATGCGCCTTTCCCCCATTTCATTAAATATTGAGCCACTGGTCTACAGGGAGGGGACCTCTCATATCCCCCTGGGTTGGGGAAGGAATCACAACAACAGCAACTAGACAACAGCTGAGAAGTTTGAGACCTGAATAACAATATCTGTAAGGTGCCATGATCCCCTGAAGAAAAGACCCTCACACTGACCCCATGAGTGGCCTGCGACACATTAGCAAGCCTTCAGGCAGAGCACTGTCCACTACTCCAAGAAACAGGCTGAAATTGGACTCAGCAAATCTCTGAGGGAAAAGAGAAGGTGGTTTATCAAGTGCGCCTGGGAGCATACAACATCCAGACGCAAAGCACTTTCACCTAAATGACTCCAATGTCCCCTCTGTTGTCAGTGCTGCCCTGTCAGTGGATCAGACTTGCCCCTTGATGCTAGGAGGGTAGCCACCCCTTGTCCCCTTCGGAGGGATCTTTTTGAGAAGCT